AAAAAAAGAAACTTACTTTGCCGTGACAGTACCATTTAAGTGCTTCGAATTCAAAGAACAATATAATGGTGTCTGTAAAGCAACTTCAAACTTTGGTAATACTGGAAAAGAAAAGCAATCTTTTTAAAAAATCTATTTTATTGTCATCTTCAGTTAAACAAAACAAAAATGGAATTGTTCCAACTAGTTGATAATTGGAATTACTTGAACTTAGATTCATTAGGATCCAAACCCATATTAACAGAAATTGAAAAGCCCTTTATTTAACTCAAAATTAGAGATCCTTACATAGGTCAACTACATAATCATAAAATGTTTTATTTATAAGTACTACTTAAAATAAAGCACTCCATCAGAGTAAAATCATTTGTGGTTTTGGTTTTGGTCTATTCACTTTTTTATAATGTCACTGATGAAAGAAACAGATCAGTCCATTAAGGTGCTTCACCATTCTGCTGACATAAGACAAACAGCAAAAAGGCCAATAAGCCAGCAGTAAGAGCAGACCTGCGGGGCTTAAAGCCCTCTGAACATGCCAAGAAACTGCTAGACTCTAGACCAGTCTAGGACAGGAGGCTCAAAAAAGTCACATGGGGCAACTAGGACCCCTCCTCCAAGGAAATCCAAATGTCTTCTCTTCAAAGGCCGCAGGCTTTCCACCCATTCCCCCACAACTGTGCCTCATTCAAGGCCACATAACCACTCAGCACTGGGGTGTAATATGAAAAAAATTTAGAAAAGGGTTGGGCCTCTCTGATTCCTTCTAGATCAGCACTGCCCAGAAAAAAGAAAATATGAGCCACATCGTTTTTCATTTTCAGAGGCCAGTTTTTAAAAATAAACAGAAGCTGCATGTGGTGGCACACATCTTTAGTCCCAGCACTCAAGAGGCAGGTGGAACTCTGTGAGCTCGAGGCCAACCTGATCTACAACAGTGAGTTCCAGGCCAGCTGGGACTACAGGGAGACATTGTCTTACAAACAAACAAACAAAAATTCACATTGACTAAAATTAGTGTTCCTTGTTCTTATTAGTTTGCAATATTGTCCTTAACTCCATATGTCTAAAATCTTATTGTTTTAATATGCAACCAAAATTTAAAACTTATTATTAATGAACTTGCTTTTTTCTTGCACTGAGTCTTAGAAATCTGCTGTGAATGTTACATTTATTGCACATCTCTACTGGGACCAGATACATTTCAAGTGCTGCACAGCCATACATGATAAATGGCTCTGTACAACACACATAGGTCCAGATTAGGGGTCAAAACACTATGGCCAGAATGAGCTAAGAGTAGTTTTGGTTTGGTTTGGTTTGGTTTTTAGTCTTTTTTGAGACAGGGTCTCCCTGTAGCCCCAGCTGTCCTGGAACTCACTATGTAGACCAGGCTGGCCTTGAACTCACAGAGATCCACCTGCCTCTGCCTCCCAAGTGCTGGGATTAAAGGCATGTACCACCACGCCCGGCAAAAGTAGTTTTTAATTAATGTTTTTATTTATTTATTTTTAATTTATGTGTATGAAGGTTTTGACTGCACATACCCAAGTGCATCAAATGCATGCAATGCCCACAGGGGCCAGAAGAGGGCATCTAAACTCCCCAGAAATGGAGTTTAGCTAGTTAGCAGCCATGTGTGCAATGGGTACCGAACCCAGGTCCTCTGAAAGAGAGGCCAGTGCTCTTAACCACTGAGCCATCTCTCCAGTCTGAGATTCTTGTTTTAACAAGCATACGCATCTCTTGAAAATTTCTCAACTCTGTAGAAAACAAAAAATGTGGTTTGTTGTTTTTTTTTTTTTTTCCTTCAGAATAAATTGAAGAACTCTTACCATATTCTGAGACCTGAAATGATTGATAATACTGCTGATCCTATTGGGGATAAGGAAAAGACAAAAGTACAGGTTAGTTCATTGTTTTGTCCTCTTACCACACAAAGAGACTTAGAAAACTCATTTTAAATTACATTTACAATGGTTTAATGAACAAAATTTATTTTAATCATACATATTTGTTTTTAATCAATTAAAAGTGAGATGTTGTTTTTCTTCCCAGCTTGCTAACATAAAAAGATGACCTATCTCACTGCAAGACATTTAAACAAATTATTTAATCTGATCTACATCATTTGCAAAACAAAAATGAGAGTTCGTAAATTTATGAATCCAGGATAGCCTACACCAAGCTAACAGAAAAATGACTTCAAGTTTTTAACTATACTTCAAAAAAGACAATGGAAAAAGAAAATTATTCATAATTGAATTTTTTACAAGTAATAAAAAATACGAAAACATCATGAACCAAGCTCGTCTACCTGTCTAATTTCTTGAGTAGTTTTCTACTGTAGCACTTAAATCAATACATCCTACACTACCTTTATCTCTGTGTCATCTTCAGCTAAGACATTCAGACTCAAATTCACTTGCTGAACGTGTCTACTGGGATGACCTACCAAGGGTTCTGGATTTGTTTATCTGGACCGAGTCTCGTCCTAGCAGCCTTTCTTGATGAGACCTCCCCATGTTATTCAGAGTACTCCTTCTCTCCCCTAATATCCTGCGCCCCGTACTTAATCTTTCTATTTAACATAATATATCATAGTCATCTGCTTTGCAACCATCTCCTATAAGAAACTGTGAAATCAGTAGGGGCAGAGCACCTAGTTCAGCAGGCTGTTGGTATCTGTTGAATAAATGTACAAATGAATGAATGAGTTGACTCTTGTTCGCAGGCCGGTTCTTAAGGTGCTCAAGAGATGAGCCTCAATTATCAGACAGTATCTCCTGTAAGATATTAAAATGACCTTCTCCTAAAAAATGTCCGGCTATCTTGAAGAGGCAAACAACGGAAAAGAAAACTGGAGGAGACGAGGAAAGGAAAGTGCTTCCTTTTCTTCACTATTGCATCAATAATGAATCAAAAAATGGTTTTGTAATTGAGACCAACAGCACGCAGCTTGTCTTCTCAGGGTGTTAACAAGAGACTAAATGGAAATCAAGAAATAAATTATTTTACTGCCCAAAGAATCTGAGAAGCAGAAATGAATTTTGCAACATATTGTCTATTGGGTACTCTGGAGGCTATATGAATTTTCCACGGAGTTTAGTTCATTCTTTTTTTTTTTTGAGTTTTCAGAGTTTAGTTATTTTTGCATGACATATTTACAAAATATATAATCAGAAATGGTTGAAGAGAGCCAGGCAGAGTGTCAAACACCTGTAATCTCCCCACTGGAGGCTGAGGCAGGAGGATCACAAGTTTGAGGCAGGCCAGTCTGGGTTACATAGTAAGACCCTGTAACAAGAGGGAAAATGGTAGAAAATACTGAAATATTTAAAATGAATAGCAATTTCAATAGTTAACAGCAATCTGTGCCATAAATAACCACCAAACAATGCTTATGTTACTTTCATTGGTCCGGAATAGAGACCCACATTTTTTTTTTTTTCTGCAAAGGGTCAGATGTTAAACATTTTAAGTTGTGTTAGTCAGATGTTCTCTGTCCCAACTACTCAACACTGTCAATAATAAAAGGGCAGCTGAAGATAACAGGTTTGAAAGTGAATGTTATTATGTTCTAGCAAGACTGTATGATGCCTCTCCCTTGAAGAGTCCACACCACACTGGGTCTGACTTTCTTCTGAGTGTTCCATTTCTCCTAATCCTCATGCTTAAGCCTATATTAAATATCTTTAATAAAATATTCAATATCAAGGCTGAAGAGATCACTTAGCAGTTAAAAGCACCGGCTGCTCTTCCAGAGACCCAGATTCAGGTCTCAGCACCACACAGCAACTAACGACCACCAGTAACTCGAGTTCCAAGGGATCCAACACCCTCTTCTGGCCTCTGCAGACACTGCACAACATACACACATTTACACACATGCAGGCAATACACTCACATAAAAATAAATTTTAAAAAAATGTTAAACAAAATAAAAATTTAAAAATAAAATAAAACTTTATTTACAAAATAGTTTTTATGCTGAATTTAGACTTCAAGTCAGAGTTTTCTGAGTCTTACTCTAAAGAAGGAATTCAACATGGTGGCACATACCTTTAATTCCTGTACTCCAGAGGCAGAAGCAGATGGATCTCTGTGAGATCGAGGCTAACCTGATCTACATAGTGAGTTCCAGGCCAGCTAGGACTACAGGGAGACCCTGTCTCAAAAAGACCAAAAAATAAAAGGGTTTCAATTATTTAATTCATTTCCAAATTATTCTATGTTAAGTTCTAGTTGAACTAAGCTAAACTTGACCAGGCTAACAACAATGGAGAAAAATTTAGCAATTAATTAAAACTTCATCTTTTGTGGGAAATATGTTTGACTAAATAATTTCCATTAAACTCAAAAGAATTTAATCAGCTTCAAAATGAGTTCTTATGTTAATTCTAACTAATCAAATATGGCCATACTCATTTGCCAGAAACTAGGGGGAAAGGCTTGTCTGCAGGCTTAAACACTTGAGTCTTCTAATCTCTTTCCCTGGTGGTCATTGTTTCAAGGTAAACATGTCCCATAGAAAGCACAGATGTTCATTCACTGCATTATAAGTAAGATTGCCTTGATTGGATTTTCTAAATGTCTAAGGCAAAAACAGAGAAGATCCAGGAGATATTTTCAGCAATTATTCTAGTCTCTCTGAACTCTTCTGCCCTGCATTGTGAGGGCATATGCTGTGGAAACCAGACAGATGGAGAGACCATCTACTGACCTTCTAAGAAGTACATTATAACTGCGCATAAATCAGGAACAGTAAATTGGCGAAGCCTCTGTCTGTTACAGAATTTCCCTTCTCTAACCATGAAGCCCTCCAAGTCTCTGTGTGTGTGTGTGGTGTGTGTGTGTGTGTGATGCGTGCATGTGTGTACATGTGCGTGTAGCCAACACTGGGTGTCTTTGTCGCTCTCCACCTTATTTTCTGAGACTTGTTCTCTCACTGAACTTGGAGCTCACCAGTTGGTTAGACCAGTTGGCCAGCAAATCCCCAAGATCCATTTGTCTTACCCCCCCAGTTCTGAGGTTACAGGTGTACACCATCACCCCTGGCTTTTTACATGGGTGCTAGGGATTCAAACTCAGGCCCTTATACTTATGAAACAAGCACTTTAACCACTGAGCAACCTCCACAGGCCCAAAGCCCTTCAACTCTTAAATAAGTTTTTCCTTTGTTTCTTTTTTAAGACGGGGCCTCACTGTAGCTCCGTCTGGCTTAAAGGTCACAGAGATCTACCTGCCTCTGCCTCCCAAGCATTACAACTAAAGGCTTGTACCACAACACTCAGATGGAAGTTTCTATTTTTAACAAATTTGAGAGGATATATCACACTACATCACCATTAAAAATATTAAAAACATCAGGATACTATGCTAAGAGAGACAGCCAATCAGTAGTCGAACCCAGCTAAAAAGCCCACTAAACATAACAATGACCAGTGCAGTGAATTATCTTGATTGGTGCAGTAGTGGCACTTTCATCTTGGGGGTAATTGACAGCTACCTAATTGAACTTAAGGCCCACTTAATGGGAGGGAACTCATGTGTGGTACGGTAAACATAGCCAAACACACATGACCCGAGTGGTCATAGATTCTAAAGAAAAACTTACATTTGTCACATCCCTAGACAAATGTAATTTTACTATATGTATGGATCCTTATATTTACAGACACATATGCCTCTCACAACTTATCAAAGAAGCTTCTTTTTGCAACAGATGGAGAACATAACAGAGTTCCACAACTGGTCAAACACAGAGAATATGCGTCTGTGAGATGCCTAGTCCCAAGTGACACAGCTACAATGCATCCTCTACACCTAAGGCTCAGGGAACACAGCAGACAGATCAGGGGACAGAGAGAGTATTAATGCATCTCTTAACTCTCACCAGTGAAGTTTCCTCATGTAGCAGAGGGTGATTAACACAAAAAGCCGCAACAAGCCAAAATGTAGAGACTAAGAGGCTGCAGAGTGCATGTTCCCTGGACAGGACTCCTATATTAAGCCTCTGCCACCCAGGGCTCAGGGACCATTGCAGAAGAGGGGGCAGAAAGATTGTAATAGCCAGAGGTGGTAGATGACCACAAGGAAACAGTTTTCCAGGTTTCTGGGAACTTCCTCATTGAACTTACAGTAATGGTGACAGCATGCAAAAGACCCACGCAAACTCAAAACAGCAAAAACCCAGCCTAGAACTAGGTAAATGGGCAAGAAGCCCCAACCTTAGATGAGGGACTATTAGCAACTGATCACTGCTGGGTGAGGGAGAGTTGGTCTTCTTTAGGGGAGTGATGTTAGGTAGGTTGGCCAGACTCCAGCGGATGGTCTACACTGAGGACATTTAGGGACACAAACTTGATGTGATCAATAGGCCTTAATGTTAAATACATGACAGAATGCATGAAATCTGTCAGGGGACTATAGGGAGGATGCAGATAGGGGAGGGGTTCTAAATATAATCAAGATATATTGCATGAAACACACAAAAATTCAATAAAAGTTTTTAAATATATTTTTAATTTATTTTTATTTTATGTAAGTGTTTTGCTGCACGTATAAGTACACCCTTGTCCTGCAATGCCCACAGATGCCAGAAGAGGGCACTGGATCCCCTGGAACTGAAGTCACAGGTGGTGACTGAACCCAGGTCCTCTGAGAGAGCAGCCAGTGCTCTTAACCACCGAACCATCTTTCCAGCCCCTAAAAAAATTTTTGAGGGGTCGGGGCTGGAGAGATGGCTCAGCAGATAAGAACACTGGTTGTTCTTGCAGAAGACCCAGGTTTGAATCCCAGCACCCACACGGCAGCTAACAATTGTCTGTAACTCCAGTCCCAGGGGATCTGACAGCCTCTTCTGACCTCCGCGGGCATTTCATGACACTGGTGCACTTACCTACATGCAGGATGCAGGAAATACATGCATACACATAAAATTTTTTTTTTAAAGTAAAATAAAATAAACTTTTTTTGTCTTTTTGAGATAGGGTCTCCCTGTGGTCCCAGGTAGCTTGTAATTTGCTAGGCAGACCAAGTTGGCCTTGAATTCACAGAGATCCACCTGCCTCTGCCTCCTGAGTGCTGGGATTAAGGGTGTGTGCCACCAGGACCAGTGCTAAAAATATTTTTATACATAGGTAAATTTCCTCCAACTCATGCTTCTAAAGTAAAAAGAAATTTTTAGGAACAGAACTAAGGTGTTACATTGATTATTTGTGTATTTATTTTCACACACGACTATTTCAATTTCCTAAGTTTGTCTTAACATTGCCCGCCATGTCTGCATTTTCATTTACAGTTAGTTGGTGTGTGTGTGTGTGTGTGTGTGTGTGTGTGTGTGTGTGTGTGTATACACCTGCACATGTGCAGGAATAGAGGACACCTGCCAGAGTTGGTTCTCAGATAAGATCTGGCACAGTCAAAGAGAGGTACGGCTGTGGATAAAGTTGATTCCTTCCACCATGTGGCTCCCAGGGATCAAACTCAGGTAGTTAGGATTGGCAGGAAGAGCTGTCACCCACTGAGTCATCATCCCTGGATTCACTTTTCATTTAACGATTAAGAACAATGCACTGGATTTTTCAAGTCTGAACAAGGGATGTTAAAGTAGAATACGCATCTGCCCCAAGACAGTGGATGCCAATGACACCCACATTCCCAAGTCAGGCACAAGACTTCCATGTGACTTGGAAAGATTTCAACAGCTCTTAACCCCTCCCCTATGTGGAGGACATAAAAGGATCAACATGAAAATAAAGACAATTTTAGGAGAACGGTTCCAATGAGCTGGGAGTGGCACATATCCCACTCCCAACTCAGAGTTACTCCCCGCTTCAAGCCTAGGGAAGGTACTTCACTCCAACAATCCAGGGAGCTAGATGTGTGTCCCTGGGAGCATCCTCAAACTGTCAGTGAGTAGGCTCTTGGAACATTTGAAAAACTAAAGAGAGAATACTGGCACTGACGGACTGTGAGGAACAGCAGAGCTAAGAGTATATGCTGGGCTTGGTCTGCACCAATTAGACTGAAAAGATGGTGTGATAATTTGAATGAGGTGTTCCCTATGGGCTCAAGTATTTGAACACCTGGTCAGTTGGTGGTGCTGTTTGCAGAGGTTCAGGGGGGGACCTTGCTAGAGGACGCACGTCAGTTGGAGCAGGCATTGAGAGTTCAGAGTCAGGGCGCATCTCCAGTGTTTGTCTCGCCCCTGTGCCTGCTTGAAGATGTGATTGCTCAGCCTTCTGCTCCAGCTGCCTCCTGCCATGCCTCCTCTACCTGATGGACTCTTATTCTCTGCAAATGGAAGCCAAATAAACTTTCTTCTCTAAATGGTCTCAGTCATGGTGTTAGGTTTTTTTTAATATTTATTATTTTTATTTTTTATGTGTGTGTTATGCCTGCATGTAGTGCCCACGGAGGACAGAAGAGGCTGTTGTTAGCTGCCATGTGGGTGCTGGGATTCGAACCCGGGTCTTCTGCAAGAACAGTCAGTGTTCTTAACTGCTGAGCCATCTCTCCAGCCCTGGTCGCCGTGTTTTATCATAGCAACTAATGTGGAAGGCATGAGCATTGCCCTCAGCTACATTTAGAAACAATGAGTCATCACAAGACTGTTTTCTCTCCAGATCAAAACAGCGTCAGGCGGGAAGGGACCAAGAGGCAAAGAAGAGGCAAAGTAGGTGCCTACTCTGGATGTGCAGGAACTGAAAGTGTAAGAGGGGCCGGTCAGTGGGAATAGTCAAAAGCATCCAAGACTCTTCAAACAAAACATCTCCCAGAAAACAATGGCAAGAGTGTGCCAAGGAATCCACAAATGAGTTCCGAGAAGGAAAGGTCCTGGTGGTCCTGGCTCAGGCCTGCAAGCCCATCTTCTCCAGAAGCCACCACACCTGGCTCAAGTAAGAATTTTTTTAACCCTTCTTTTCTCTTTCCTTCATCCAATTCAACCTGGACAAATCATAGGTGGTCAGATACCGAACATCCTCACAGTTCAGCATGCAGACTTCCATTTTTCTCTTCAACAACCCTGCCCACAAGCCTTCCACTCCAGCGTGGCCTGCTCCTGACTCTCCAGGCTCAGAGCCTTATGGCACCGCCATCTCCTTTGTTCCCCATCAGAGGCCTAAGGTCACTTCCAGTCCATCTACTTACAACATGGGTTTGTAGAGCTGCCAAGAGCCTTAAACTTTCCCTGGTTCAAGTCCTTTATTTTATGGCGGAGAAAACCGAAATCCAGAGTTGAACTGTCTTGCTATAGTTCCCCCGCTGAGTCACCAGGACCCAGGTCTGTAATTTCCAATCCAGTGCTCTGCATTTGCAACATGAGGCCTAGGACCTGGGGTCTCTTCTGACTCCTAATTCAGGGCCCTCTGCATTTGCTACATGAGGTCCGCCCCTTATTGTAAGCTCCTGGAAGGTAAGGGCTGTGTCTTCCCACCTTCACAGTCTCACTGACTGGTGCTCCTTTGGGCCCTGCACACAAGAGAAAAGTTCCATGTTTTCAGCATTATTTAGATCCTTACTAGTCTGGCTGTTTAGACTTATTATCTACATAACATTAGGTAATCTTTTCTTCCCTTACTTTTTACCATGAAATTGGCAAAGATCTTAATTTTTTTTTACAACCAAGAGGAATGGCAAGAGCTTGTAATATTTAGAGATACTGAGTTCAATACTGTAGAACTGTAGTAATTCAATTGTGAAACTAAAAATGTGCACCCACTTGTGAAAGAGATGTACTCTTGCTCTGGAGTGTGTTACTGAATACGTTAAATCTGTAGTAAAATGCTTCTTCTAATCATGTAGTTATTAAAAATTAAAAAAATTACTTCATGTTAAATAGTAGAGGTGATAAACATTACCAGTGAAATCTATCTAATCACATCATCCTATAAAAATGTCACTATATGTATATTGACTCATTTTAGAGGAATGGCAGAGTTAATAAATAAGATTTTCCAAGTGACTGAAGATGTTTGTTAATGTTTACATTGTCCTGTCCTGTCCTGTCCTGTTTAGAGCCCAAACATCTGTAAGCTAAACTGCAGTTATAACTTGTTTCTCCAGGGGTTTTGACCAAATTCAACAGCTACAGTGAGCTTAACAATAGAGATGCCCAGTTACTACCCCAGAGTCACTGAATCAGAATCACCAAGGCTGGAGTGCAAACACATTCATCCATCTACTCCTTCAACAGTATGTGTAAGGGCCAGGCACCGTGGTAGACGTGGGATATGCCTTCCCTGCAAGGAGGTGCTGGGCTAGCAGAGAGTAAGATGTTTATAAATATACTCATGTATGATTACACAAACTATGGAAAAGGTTATGGCTTAGATTTATAGAGAATTAATAAACCCAGAGATAAGGTGGGAAAAGCAGAATCTGATCAGGTAAGGCCTTCTGTAGGCAAATGGTAAAACATGAATTTTATTCTGAGAACAATGACGTGTTTACACAGTTTTAAGCTGAGGAAAACATGACCCAACTACTGTTTAGATTACATTTACTGCTGTATAGAGAATGGGTTTCAAAGAGGAAAAAAGCAAATTTAGAGAGGATGATCAAGACATACTGAAAATACCTCGGCAAATATGACAGCAGCTTAGACAAAGGAGGAAGGTGGGAATAAAGAGGAAGAGGTGGATCTGAAACACACGGAGCATGAAGGCCGTGGAAGCTGGTGCAGGCTGGATAGAGCAGCAAGTCCAGGAGAAGTCCAGCGTTACTGCTGGCACAGCCGGCTGGAAGGTGGAATAATTCTGGAAGGTGGGAAATGCTGGAGCAGGCCAAGCGCGGTCGAGGAAGATCATATGGATGATATATGTCCAGAACTCAGAGGCCTGGGTTCTCTCAGGCAAATGTGAGCGCTATTGGCATTAGATGGGAACGGAGACCATGTCTGCGGGTAGACTCAGCAAGGACAGAAAATGAAAGGACTGTAAAAGCAAACCTTGAAACACTCCAATAGCACGTGAGAAAAACAGAACTCAAAAGCCAAAACTGGAGCGACTGGGGAAATGACAGGAGAGATTAGACAGCTGTTCTTCGGTTTGGAAAACTGACCAGAAAGGGGAGGTGAGGTCACTGGAGGGAGAAAACACAAAGTTCTGTTTATCTTTTGAATGTAGTCTCTCCTCTTAATATGAAAGAGTGCAGTCAGCTTATTAGGTTTTGTAGAAAGGTCCAGGTGAGAAAGGGATCCAGACTGATAATCCAGAAAAAAATCAGAGGTTAGGGATGTTGTGAGTTTTGTGAGAGGGAAGAAAAACAAAGAACAGAAAATTGTGTGAGGAGAAGAAAGGGGAAGCCAAGCACAGGTAAAGACTGGATGCTTCTTGGACTTAGCCATCAAGAATGGTGACTCAAGCCATATGTGGTAGGCACACCTTTAATCCCAGCACTTGGGAGGGCAGTGGCAAACCAATCTCTGTGAGATTGAGGCCAGCCTGGTCTTTGTAGCAAGCTCCAGGCCAGCTGGGGCTACAGGGAGACCCTGTGTCAACAAAAAAAACTAATGGTGACTTTAGCAGGGAGTGGTGAGCACACCTTTAATCCCAGCACTCAGGGGCTCTCACTCTTTCACTTCATGGCTATCCTGGTCTACACAGGGGGTTCCATGCCAGCCAGGGCTAGACAGTGAAACCCTGCCCCTAAAAACCAAAAAAGAAAAAAAAAAAAACCCACAACAAACAAATATCACCCATGTAACTCTGTTCTACTGAAAAGTGCAAGGATTTAAGTTTTTTGTTTTTCATTATTAGAGTGTGTGTGTGTGTGTGTGTGTGTGTGAGAGAGAGAGAGAGAGAGAGAGAGAGAGAGAGAGATGTGTGTGATATATATATTGATAGAATGTGTGAATTTCAGAAGAGCCACAAGCCTCATTAGGGAAATCCATAAACCCCTTAAAGTGTCTAACTGGCCCTAAATTGGCAGCCTGGCCTTGCTCAAGCCTGGCCATCAACTGGTCACTCCTGGGACTGAGAGCGACTGTTCGTGGAGCCCACCTGTCTCCTTCAGTGCTATAGATAACTCACCGCCTTTCTGAAAAAAAGAGACCCTCGAGGACACCAAACCTGGGCACTAATTCAACTCCCCACAAGATGCAGCTGTGTCTTATAACTTTCATATAACCCCCCGCCCCAGGTTTCTTTGTCTAGTTGTAGAAGCTTGGTTCCCGTGGACAGCCTCTACCTCTCACTGTCTCTTCTTTGAATAAAGGAAGATCAATTCCTTGCCTATTGCAGGTCTGGCTCTGGTTTCTTGTCTCCTACTCCTCTATCTTTCCTTTTATTCTCCAAAAATCTAACATATATGATGTGTGTGTGGTGTGTGTGCAACATGTGTGTGATATGTATGTGGTGTGTGTGATGTGTGTGATGTGTGTGATGTGTGTGAAGTGGGGATTATTGTGTGTAGGTCTGTGTGATGTGTGTGCATGTGTGACATCTGTGTGCATATATGTGATGTGTGTGTGATATGTGTTGCCCTCAGTGAGTGTGTATGTGTGTGTCTCTGTGTCTCTGTGTGTGTGTGCACGCACGTATGTGTGTGTGTGTGTGTGTGTGTGGTGTGTCAGGTTTTTGTCTCAAACTTTAAGACAAAGTTACCTGCCCAGCCATCTCACTGATCCCGCTTTAAGGTTTTTAGAGACATACAATAAGCTACTGTTTAGACTCCTATCTCAAGCAGCAGCTTCCCTCTATGCTACTGAAAGTTAACCATCATGTAAAATGATACACAGATATTCCACTAGCATCAAATTACTGCTTCTGACGCTGTACTACATTAATGTAAGATACAATCATTGGGCACTAAGTAATCAGTACACAAGCCTCTTCTGTACTAACTTGAAACTTTCTGTAAATCACTTCAGAAAAAGTTATATTAAGAATAAATATTGTGCCTCATGTGACCAGGTTATACAACTGGATAGGTAACAGCTAATCCCTAATAACATATTAATGGGTAGTGGTTATCTGGTAACCTATATATTAAAATATAAATTTCCTAAACTCAAATCCTCAATCGAAAGGCATGATTGTTATGGCTAAAGTCTGAGACTCCTTGGAAACAAACTACTCTGTGAGGATGTGATCTATGTGCTCCCCTCAAACTACTGAGAGGATGTGCTCTATGTGCCCCTTCAAACCATGTAATAGAGATGGAAATCTTCTCCAAGGGTGCATAAAGCAGGTCCTGATGACATTGAAATTCAAAACAATAGTGGCCACATAAAAGTAACTTAATTTTATACAGCCGAGCCTATCAGGAAGTCTAGTTCATGTTCCAAATCCTGTGGTAATACAGTGTATGCTTTACCTGGTCACATCCCTTCATTCAGTGTCTGCCTCTGTAAAATGAGGCGATAGAGCAAAGTGATCCCTATGATTTTCCCCAGAGCTAAGACCCAACAATATGTGCTAATGATTTCCTCAGAGCCTCCGTTTCAGCCAGGAGTGGTGGAATATGCCTGTGATCCCAGTACTTGAGAGGCGGAGGCAGGAGAATCAGGAGTTCAAAGCCAGCCTGGGCTACATGAGACCCTTTCTCAAAACCAAACAAAACAAAACAAGAACCACAAATCTTCCATTTCATTGATGATCATGATCATTTAAGTCTGATCCCAGAGTTTTCTAACTGCCAAGGTGTGCCTACAGAGAGGAGGTAAGGAAGAGCTCTGAAAGCAGGGCACTGCTATAGACCTGCAAGGATAAAACTCGAAATTTGCATGGAATCCAGAAATTTAAATGCACACCATCAAAGGACAACAGATCAAGTCTCAGTAGACTCGTAGGATTAGCCAGGCATTAGAAAATGAGTGCATTTTAAGTTTTATTCATAGGATAGCCAGCCCTGAACTGAAATCTTTTTTCATTTTTTTCATTTTCAAAATCAAGAAATCCAAGGCATTATCCAAGTCTTATTTTCTGCTAACAAAAGTTCATGAGACATATGATCACATATGCTCTCAAAATAAAAATATATAAATATATTTCTGCTAAGCTGCAGTGTCATGAGCATAGTGGGGTCATGTTGCATAGCTACTTTATCCAAAATGAAACTTTCTGTCCAGGAGGGAGGAGGGAGGCTCACAAAGCTCAGGAAGCTCAAGAAATTTACAAAGCTCAGGAAGGCTAATGAAACTTACAAAGCTCAGCAAGTTACAAGATTCACAGGTCACTCACTCCCCAAGGTTGTATAAGCAGTAAGCAAATGCTGGGGAGAAAGAGCCTCTGCCTGGTGGAGCTGCCTACAAATTAATCTGGTAATTCCAGGGATGCAGTTTTCCTCACCCATGAGCAGGTGGGCCTTTCCATATGCCTTTGGGTCACCCACGCTCCTGCAAGTCACCCCTCACCCAAGCTCATATAGTAACCCCTTCTTTCTTTTTCTTTCTTTTTTTTTTTTTTTTTCTTGAAACGGTTTCCTTTTAGCCCCAGCTGGCCTTGAACTCACAGAGACAGAGATCCAGCTGCCTCTGCCTCCTGAGTGCTGGAATTAAAGGTGTGTGCCACCACGCCTGGCTGTAACTCTTTTCCTCCCACAGATAAAATGAACTCTTGGAACAGGTCAGATGTTTCATTAGATAGAATAAATAAAACAGTTAATAAAATAGAGTCCCGTCTTCAAGGAAACCAGTCTAATAAGAAGGCAAGGCATGTTTCTTAAACTACATTGGTCACAGCTTGGAAAGAGAAGAAAGTTGTGGAGTGCTCTAAGAAGTTGGCATCCTAAAGTCAACTTCTCTTCCTTTCTTTCACTGCACATGGAGGGAACAGCCTAATGTCTTTACCCCTCAAAAGAACTTCTCATTGTTAGCACAGACTGGCAACAGTATTTTAGAAGCCACATCCACACTGCACAGAAGATGCCACTGCTCTGACCTGTCAGTTTGTTCTTTTACTTAACCATCACAAGCCTGGGGAGTCACCAGAGGCTACTTATGGAATGCTTCGGGGACAAGAGCTGTGTAAAAAAGGATTTGCTCATCTAAAAAGAGAAACCCAGGAGCGTGACTGAGCTGACCCGGCTGTGCCTGGGTGGCAAAAGGCCAGAAAAGATAAGAACTGTTCCCAGGTGCTATAAAAAGCAGTGAGATGGACAATCCTCACCCAACCTTTCTACAACTGCTTCAAGAGAAAGTAGATGCAGTCGTTCTAAGTAAAGAACACTTCAACACAGACTGTTTCCGGACTACATGATAATTGATGCCCCACACACTCCAAAGACTCCAAAATGCCTTCAAAGAGTCATTTCAAGCTTTGAAGCTGTTAAATTCGCTGCATTCTATGTCTTGCCCCCATCCACAGTCCTGCCTGAGGATTGAGACAAGATTGAGAAACTGCAAACAGTGGCAACTAAAGAGGCTACAAGACTTTGGAGTTTGATAGTTCCCAAGTCGGTTGTACCATCAGAAACACCAGAGAAGCTGCTGTCAAGATACAGATTTCCCCAAACTTTTTCATGTCTGGTCCCGGAGATCCAATCCAGGGCCTTGGACATGTTAGGCAAGCACTAAGCTATATATCCCCAGTCCTGATCTAATAATTCTTATTTAGAAAGTCTAAGGTGTTGCTCTACTAAGCAAGTCACCTACATGCAAAATAAATACCTTAGAGTATCACCAGGAGGAACTCAAAGAACAGGTCACATGGCCTGCCCCTGTTCCACACCTTGTTCATTATTCAACAGTGTCTCTTAATGGAATAGGAAAACAGAAATATGCCTAGCTGTGGGTATGTATCAGTACTCCTCAAAATGCCAGCCAAAAAATCAAATAGAATTCTCTAAAACAATAATTTCAAATTAAAATTCCTAGGTTCCATGTGAAAATTTGTAAATTGTGACAAGCTTGTTAGAACCTTTCAAAGAACAAGGTGTTCAGTAGCATATGGGAGTGTTAGTGTTCATCTGTTCCATGACAGAGCAATGGGTGATGCTGCAGCATCAACACATACTGTTGAAACAGCACACATTCCTCCACACATACAAACTCTGAGACCTGGACAAAGCATCTTTAACAAGCACACTGGGTCACTGATTCTGAGACACATTCATGTTTCAGGAACACTGATAGGTTCCAGCAGTTTTGGTCACTCAGGTGACCCTGGTGGTAAAGCCCAATGGCTGGGCTTCTCTGGAAGTGTGAACAGGTTCCATGTGTCGCCAAGTAAAGAGAGCACAGACTACAGGTATTAAGTGAGCAAGAATCCCTCAGTGACTTGGGTACTTCCCTGGCCTCTCAGAGGAACATAAGCACCAGGGGTCATCCAGAGACTTGAACTCGACACTGCGGGCTGCCCACCACAAAGGTGAAGGGAGAAGGCTACCGTAGGCAAGACACCCTGGTTCCCAGGAGCCTGGGGTTCCCAGGAGCCTGGTTCTCAGAGCCAAAGTTAGCCTTTCTTTTAAAGAAATTTTAAAGGTGGTAGAGATGTGGCTCAGTGGAAGAGTCTTCGCCTAGCATGTGTGAGGTCCTGGTTAATGCCTAGCACTACAAATAAAATGAAATCTTTATTTTAAAAGAACATTGAAACTGAATTCTACTAACCCAGAACACATTTTTTTTTAGTCTTTTTGACACAGGGTCTCCCATAACCCCAGTTGGCATGGAACTTGCTTTGTAGACCAGGCTAGCCTCGATCTCACAGAGATTCACCTGCCTCCACCTCCCGAGTGCTGGGATTAAAGGTGGTGCCATCACTCCCAGCTCTAGAACACAGTTTTACAGTCATAGACAAAAAAGAAACTTACAACTAGATTTATAGATCAATACAGTGGAATATTATATATTTATACATAATATTATTATTAAGAAGAAAGAAAATTTTCACATATGCTACAACCTGAATGAACCTTGAGCATATTACATCAAATAAGAAGAACCAGTTACAAAGACATACTGTATGAATCCCCTGAAGATAGCTATTGTCATGAAAGTCACAAAGTCAGACAGTAGGAAGGTGGTTTCCAGGGGCAGGATGGAGAGGACACTGGGAATTATTGTTCCTGACTATCTACAGTCACTACAAGTTTGACCTCTGCTAACCCTGTATTTCTAATGCACTGTCTTTCAGTTGTGATACTGATCTCATTCTATATTTTTTCTACAAAAAGAATGGAATTTCAAAATACTCTCCTGAAAATAATTTTCTTCTGAGTTTTATGCTGAGAATGGTCACTGTCTCAGAAACATAAAAATATACTTTATGATAGTGGACTATTTAAATAATAACTATATTTCCTCTGTTCACTGCTAAAAACCAAAGTCAGTAATAAGCAATATAAGGCCCTTCAGCTCTAAGCAGGCATCAAGCAAAGACGAGGACCAGGACAGAGCTGCTTTTCAAACATTTCTTTGACTGTACTGACCCCTGGTGGCTGTCAAGAAACTTTTCTTCTTAAGTGCTTCAAACTAATCTTTCATTAGCAATAAACATTTAATCAAAATGCTTGTCTTCAAAGGGATAAAGATACCTTCTAGAATGTGTGAAGTAGAAAACTGCATCTAGTCCAAGACATTTAAAAACGATTGGCATAAATGCAAGCACGGTGCCAGCTCCTAAGGATGGAAGGGTGAACAAGACAAAATTACTAGCCTTATAAATTACAGTCTAGGGGGCTGGAGAGATGGCTCAGCGGTTAAGAACACTGTTCTTGCAGAAGACTTGGGTGTGAATCCCAGCACCCACATGGCAGCTAACAACTGTCCATAACTCCAATCCCAGGGGATCTGACAGCCTCTTCTGACTACCGCAGGCATTGAACGACACTGGTACGCTTACCTACATGCAGGCAATACATGCATACATATAAAATAAAAATTTTTTTTTAATGTAGCCAGATGTGGTGGTGCACACCTGTAGTCCCAGCACTTGGGAGGCAGAGGCAGGAGGATCTCTGTGAGTTCAAGGCCAGCCTGGTCTACATAGCGAGTTCCAGGACAGCTGGGGCTACAGGGAGACCCTGTCTCAAAAAGACAAAAAATTAAATCAAATTAAATTAATAAATAAATTACAGTCTATTAGGAAACACTAGCTAAAAGCAACACAAACAAAACAAGAGCAATATGCCTCATGGTGTCTGAGTGATTCTGCCCTTTTGGATAGTACTCGAACGGTAGAAGCAGGTCACAGGCACAGCAGAGCCAAACAGCACTCCAGGCAGAGGCCGTACGTGGGAAAGCTCTGGGAAGAAACAGACTGAAGAGCTTAAGAAATGGAAAGGATGGAAAAGCAAGGGTGGCACTAACGAGGTGAAGAGGTGGATGAGGCACAGATCTTTTCCACTTTTTTCATTTTTATGCAACTAAATTCCTTTAGAACTCACCTTTTTTCCTCCCCAAGCAATACGAAGGTCAAGTCCACACATCACTATGTGAGGAAGCCTATCTCCCTTTCGATTTTCAATCTCACATCTTCCACAAGACTTTCTCCACCATTCTATCCCTCTCTAGCCTCTAATACTGATCTGTTCACCACTCACTGAATACACTTATCTCTTAGGGTCTGTCCTATCTCCCAGCTGAAACAGCCCTTGCTGGTCATTGTGCAGAGGTGGCTTCTGATGGACCACCTCTGATGGGAGCCTTACCCCAAGGGTAGCCCATCTGTAGGCTGCCAGTCACCAATGAAGAGGCTTGCTTGTGGGAATATGGAACTATGAATGTTTGAGCTAAGCCGATGTAATGGCCCCATTCATATTTAGGCTTTAGTGCATCATGTACAGTGAGGGGAAAATGGAGCAGACCACGAGACAGAGGCAAGAGCTAACAGCACTAGCGCTAACTCAAGCACCTACTGACCCCTCTGCCTTGTTTCTCAGTCACACTTGTTATTTATGTCACCACAACATGATCTTTGAAAGTAGAGATCACATGGTTAGCTTCCTCGTATTCACCACAGCACCACAGACCCTCAACACATACTGAGGACGGACAGGCAGACAGGTGGAGGAAGGAAGAAGGATGGAAAGGAGGAAGAGAGGGATAAATGGATAGAGTGGTGGGTGAATGGATCGGCCGATGGGTAAACAAATAAGGGTTCCTAAACAACATAAATGGGGCCGAAAGTAACATCTCAACTCCCTGAAACTCAGTTTCCTGGTCCCCTCCAGGTCTTATCATTCTTTGCATGCCTCAGTAACACAAAACCTCTCCCAAATCCTGAAACACAAAGTTCTCCATTTTCCCTGCCTCTGTGTGCAATTCAGTCCCTCTCTTCTAAGTTTCACAGATGCCTGCTCCTTCCTCCCTCTCTGGGAGTTCAAATGTCCTCTTCCTCAAGCATGTGTCACACCACAGCCTACTTTAGCTCTCCTTGCACATGTCGCTACACTTAATCCTTTTCAATCTGCCGCCCCCTTGGCCCTGCAGGCCTCTCCGTGAGCCGCATGTGCTCAGCACATGCTTTTTAAGTAACTGCATAGAAATGAACACACTTGGGTCTCTTCTGTTTATAATGCTTTTTAGGGCCTCCAAAAACAATGTGAACTACAGGAAAAATAAGTATGCTTTTAATCCTTCAGTTTAAGAAAGATCTGGGTCCATGAACACACTCATTATGTATCTGTAGGTTTACTAACATTGTTCATTTTGTTGCTCTGATATGGATAACTTGAAAATCTTAAAGCAATATTAGCAAAGAGAAAGCTGCCATTTAATCTAAACTGCACTGAAGATGGAATGGGAAGTCAAAAAGCGCTTGTTTCCTAGTTGAGTATACGTGAGAAGTCAATTTGCTGGGCTATAGTCTTCTCATCATAAAATGGACATAGTCATGCCCACATCACAGGATTGTATATGAAGGGTAAATTGCCTGTCTGGGAGCAGATGCCAAGCTTTATAAGCTTACCATATTGTAGTTATTACATGATACAAATATTTTTATTATATATTTTTTTTGAGAGAGAGAGAGAGAGAGAGAGAGAGAGAGAGACTGAGAGAGAGAGAGTCTCCCTGTATCCCCAGCTGTCCTGGAACTCACTATGTAGACAAGGCTGGCCTCAAACTCACAGGGATTCGCCTGCCTCTGCCTCCCAAGTGCTAGGATTAAAGGTGTGCGCTACCACGCCCAGCTATATATATTTATTATAATAGTGCCATGACCCATTGTTTATCCTGAGAGATCCTTGAAGGTTGGCACTTCTCACAATGTGCAACAGTGCCCCCGTGTCGCCTCTAATTTTGTATTTTTCTAACATTTAGACTCTTGTTTTCATTATTACTGTACTAGGTTATGAATCAGGAAAATGAGCAAAAGCCTCAGCTACAAATCTTACAAATATTATTTCAATATTTATGCATTACATATTCACTGTGAATATGAACCTCTTTCATAATTTTCCCTCCAGTATTCTGTAAAACCATGGCATGCATTCAGCAAACCTTCTTCTAAATTAGAAAGGATAAAGTTGGTAGCATCACATAAGCCTCTATAAAGATACTGGCTGGCCAGCCAGCAAACTAAGAGGTCACTATGACCCTAGCACTGAACTCTTGCATTTAAGTTGGTTCGAAAAACTGAGTCTCACACACTGCCCCTCAGCTGTCCTGCTTTAAGCAGGTGCTATTGCATGTGTCTCACCTGACACCTCATTTTCCACACCTTCTGCTTTTGTCATAAAGAAAAACTACATTTTACTAATCTGCATATCGTAAAATACTTTACAGTGAAATACAGATATTATATGTCAATGACCAGCTCATAGCCCATAAAAAGTTAAGCCTCATTACTTTTTAATTTCTTTTAATTACAGTAAAATGAAAGTAACATGAACAGTCATTTGTAAGTGCTGTTCAACGCTGGTAAGTATATCCACATTGACGTACAACAGATCTCCATAACTTCTTCATCTTGCAAATGGAAGCTCTACTCCATTAAACTCCATTCCCTCCTCCCAACACCTCTGGCATTCTCCAGTCTACCTTCTGTCTTGGTGATTTTTGAATATTCTAAATATTACATGTAGGTGGAATTACACAGAATTTGTCCTTTTGTGACTGACTTATCTCAGACTAATGTCAAGGTTCATTCATGTTGTATCATATGTCAGAATATCCTTCCTTTTAAAGGTAAGAGCCCTCCTTTTCTGAGGCACAAATTGATGAATAATTTATAATAATGAACTTCATTTGTAAATATATCAATTCATATCAGAAATATTGGACAAATGAGCTTATTAATTACACCAGGTACAGCTCCTTTCACCTGAGACTATCAAGGAGAACCCCAAGATGGAGATGTGACAGGCACACTGACCCATCACCTGGTCCTGTTACTTTTAACAGGTGTGGTGGTTCATGCCCTTCCCAGCATTCAGGAGGCAGGGGCAGACATAATGAGGCCCTGTCTCAAAACAAAACAGCAAAATACAAAGGGAAAGACTAAAGTTAGATATCTTAAATTTCCATGTGTTTGCCATGGCCATTTACCAATAAGACATGCTTGTTTGAATCAAAAATATCTGTGTTGTAGAGAGTATGGAAAGGGGTAACACTAAAGACCTTTGAAAAAGCCATATGTAAACCTACTACTGTAGAAGCTCTCTCCACATATTTTAAAAGTCTAAACAAAGTTACCCTATCATGGGGGTTGGAGGCAATGCCTCTCCCAGATACCACAGGCTACAAAATCAAAAGCGCTGTGCCAGGTATGGATTACCTCTTTCTGAGTTGTTGATCGGTGGGGAGAGGGTCCCATAGCCCCCCAAACAGTACATTGTGTTGCCATTGCTCCTGGTTAGCCTCCAGAACTTGATGGTAATACTATTGCTAAGGAAACCACATACTTGAGTCATAGGACATGGTCAAGCTAGTACTGACCTAGAGGCTTCATCCCTACTGACTAGCTTTCATAGTGCTGGAAGGTGCTACATGCTGCTGGGGTGGAAGATAATCAGTAGTCTTACCCAGCTGTGAACACTAAGAACTGCAATAACCAGTAGCCTGGCAAGGTGCCAGCTGGTACAATAGAGGCATAAATGTTACTGGAGTTAACTTATCATTTTCTGATTGGATTTAAGACCAGCTCCGTAAGACAGAACTCATCCCTGGTACTATTAACTGGTTCAAAAGTCTGTGGTTGGGCTGGAGAGATGTCTTAACAGTTAAGAACAAGGTGCTATACATGCTACTGGAGAAGAAAAGTAATCACCAATCTTACTCAGCTGTGAAACTAGCAAACTACAATAAGTAGTTTGGCAACTATGTCCACTTGTGCAATAGTAACATGAATGTTATGAGAGCAACCGACTGTTTTATTATTGGGTTTAAGGCCCTGGCACCAGTATCAAGGCCAAGAACCTGTGGCTAGATAAGTGATAGGCCATAGGGGAGAACCTACTACTAATATTCTACTAAATGGACATGGTATTAAAGTGACTCCTAATGACTTTCATGCTCATAGATTAGTGCATCTCTCAACCCTTATCGGAGAAACTTCCTTTTTGCAGATGAGATTACTACAAAGACCCACAACTAGCTGACATAGAGAATAAGAGGTCCTGACATTCTCAGCTCTACGTAGGATATCTATACCACGCCCTCTCCCTCAGGTTCAGGGG